TGCTACAGGCAAGCAAAAACGCAAACGGAAGAGAGAGAAACTGACGTGTTTAGTTTGCATCGGTCGTTTGATGACGAATGGATGTGCTTTTTCGATTTTTTTTCGGAACTATTTCGCCTATTTTAAAAGTAAATTAAAATACGTTATCTTACTACAAGGCGTTAATCATTGTATATCACTTAAAAATGAATACGGTTTGCTTTGACCACGCCCTAACCGCGCGCTAGGCACGCTCTTTTGTCGGCAAAAAGTTGTCTTGCACCCCCCGAAAAGGATAGTCTTCGCTCCGCCCCTGCTGCGAAGTTCTTACTTTACACATAGATTAATTTATTAGTTATAAACAATTATTTATTGTGTTTGCATTGCAGGTTTAATATTCGGCAAAGCTTGAAGTGATTGCCGGAAGACAAAAAATCTTGAAAACCAGTTGCCCAAAGACAACTTGGAAGTTCTTACTTTGCACATACATGAATTAAAAATATTTAAAATATTTATATACTCTAATGTTTATTGTGTAAGCAGTATAGCAACACCATTTGTATTTTGACAACTTATTCCAATCTTGCCTTTAATTAAAAAGGGTTATAGTTCAAAAATATTATAGTGAACCAAAACAATTAAGTTACCATATTTATGGGCATTCAACAGGGTTTAGAACAAAGTATTGGAATTTACTGAGCATTAATGAATAAAAGTTTCAAGTTGTTTCAATCAAAAATCGAACGCTAGTTTTGGAGGAATTATTCCAATGGAAAGGTGTTGTTTCGCTCAGAGTTACAGTTACAGTGGGGCGCTCATGTCTGGAATCAAATTCCGGAAGACAGAAGAACTTCGGCATCTTATAATTCGTTTTGTGAAAAGTTTTCTTCCTCGACTTTTCATTTAGTAATCATCATGCTTAAATTATAGTGCTAATTTTCTTAGATTTCTTTACTAATTTTTTGTTGACTATTATTAACAAATTCATAATATTTATATAATTTATGAAATCAGTATAATGCATTACACACCTCTTTTGAAAACCAGCATTTGTTGAAAAGATTAGTGTGAAAAGATTAAAAGAAGTTGATCCATCCATCCATCCATTCCGTATCGGATAGGTACTTTTTCGAGCCGCTACAGAAAGCTATCCAGTATACAGGGTGTATAAAAAAAAAGGAGACCTTTAGAAATCAAGCATATTGTTAAAATTTGAATGCCTTTTCAATTGCACATATGCTGAACGTAGTGCGTGAAATATTGATAACGTGAAATAACGTTTAAACAAAAGATTTTCTGCTCCTGGGAACAATCTGCCATGTGCTTAGCAAAGTGCTCCAGGTTTCAAATTATAACAATGGTTGATTTCTAAATGTCTCCTTTTTCTAATGTATGCACTCCATCAATATCACAGTTCAGCATATGTGCAATTGAAATGGCATTCAAATTTTAACAATATGCTTGATTTCTAAAGGTCTCCTTTTTTTATACACCCTGTAGTGTAAACGTAGCCTAAAGCCTGTCTTCCACTAGCGAATTTCTTCGCGCGAAGCGAATTTTTTATTGTTAAAATTGAAAAGAATTTATTAAAAATTTAATTAGTTTCAGCTGAGAGCTTATAAGACAAAAGATCCGCGCGACAAATTTCGCTAGTGGAAACGGCAACACGACGGCAGCGGCAACCAATACAATGAGTCAATGAATCGAAATAAATAATAAAAGTCCCAGGGGAGTTTCAGACGTATAGTATAGTCGCCCTGTTTACAACGGCAAATCACAGATTTTCATGTCTTTTATACAGTGCCTGCATTTCAAGCCGTAACAAGTGCAACTTAAAATTCAGTTCAGTAGAACTCTTCCCCAACATGCATAAAGGCAATGTTTTCAATTTCTTATACTGTATTAAATTCATGCGAATTATAATAAACGACAAGTTTTCTTCACTGTCATTTATTTGAAGGAATTTATTTTGGCCGTCGTGGCCGCGTTGGCGTCCTATTGATATTGGTCATAACACCTCAATCTTTGACACTGCTCTACTCCGCTCTACACCTTCGACGTTTTCTGCAGGGTTAAAGTCACTCGGAATTATCTTGGCAGACAGCTTGGATCTTATAAACCAGCTCCAATCGTGTAGCATAAACTCCGCACTCCTGAAAATTTACGGAACAACAATTTAGGCACGTTGTGTGCAGGTCTTTTCAAAGAGGAATCGAATTTAATGCGCATTATGCACTCGAAGATTTTAAAGCGTTGCCCAAAATACTATTTCATAGCTCCCTTCAAGTAACAGTTCAACAGATTTTGGAACACGGTCGATCAACAACAGTCGAGGATGTCATAAAGGACGTTCAGGTTTCTCGATAAAAGGCACGCGATGTATATAGACGTATAAACAAATGTCATACAGCATGCAACGGACAAAATGACTGTGTTGTCCGAAAATATCAAGCTAAAACAAGCAGAAAATGGTTTACCATCTGAAACACTCCAAAATATCTACACGAGAATTGGAAAGAACCGGACTATTTTCTGTTGTTGCTTTGCCAGTTAATTTATGTCATTCATCGTCGAAGTCAAGGGATAAATCTCGACCAAAAATGACGCGGTATCGCACAAATCTTGGCTATCTTGCAATTTTTGAAGGTCAAAGACACCATTCGTACAATTTGGCTAAACTAGATGTTTAACAGTTATAAACTTTTAATATTCACTGGCAAATACGCAAAACATTTACATTTTTTAACGCTTCGAAAACAGCATGTTTGCATGCGCCCGCAAACACTTGATGATTGCGCGACACAGTCAGTGAATTAACTTTTTGCGTGTAGTTGAAGTATTTTCGCGAAGTGAGAATGTCACTTTGAGGTACAATTATCTTACTTGTTTGCACGGTGGCCATATCTCAAAATTTGTACTTAATTAACCTATTAAGTTGTATCAAATTTTAAAATTTGAAAAAATCGCCAGTGTAGTTTTTGTGTAACTAATTTTTAGCTTTAAAAAAACTACACTGATGATTTTTAAATACTTTTCTAAAAAGATTTTGAATGTCATCATAATGTAATTTATGCAATAGAAAAGATAGGTCACTGTGCTCATTTTCTCACTACGATGGTTTTTTCGCTAAAATTGGCCGTATCTAAATAACGACGTCATGTTGCCATGGTTACTTCAAGAGTGAAGTTTTCCGGTTAAAATTACTCTTTGATACACAAAATAGCAAACTCTTATGCAAATTTAACTAAAAGGAAGCGACGTGTCGTAAACTCGGTGCAACTGTATGGAATTTATTCAAATCATGCTATTAAAGGACAACTACATGCATTACAGGTAAAATTGATCAATGTTTACCTTATGTGGCCATAGGTGACCACGGACAAACGCAAAAACAAATGAGTGAAAATTAGAATATTGTTCTTATATAATAAAATACTCATGCAGGTATTTTCGATTTAAATTCCTCCTCCTAACTTGGCCTAACCAATCTAAATAAGAAGGCTGGGTCTATTTTCCCGCTCGCACCAGGAGGGCTGCGGCCTTCGGGCAGGTTCCAAGATTTCAGTTTCATTTTTCCAGCTCCATCACTGCTCAGGTAGAGGTCGTCGCCAGTAGTGGACTTAAGAACAAAATAAGGCTTGTTTGGGCTGCTTAAACGAAAACGATGAAATATTGTCCCACCATCAGTACCCTGTAAAATAAAGTATAGCTGGGAAAATTTATTCCGTTGTCGATATGCAGCTCACTTACAGCGCTAATGCAGGGACGACATGGGTATATTACAGTATATACCATGAACTCGATGGAATCGTAAATCGCGAAAAAGCTTTTATTATAATGTAGATACTGGGTTTTCCAAGTGGATTTACTTATGCGAAAATTCGTTTGGCAATGCCCATTAGCCAATCAGAAAAGTGAAACAATTTCCTCACACGTGAAAAAAGCCTCGTTCAATTAAATAGAGAGATTCAGAGATCAGGAAAGCAAAACAATTTCCTCACACGTGAAAAAAGTTTCGTTCAATTAAATAGAGAGGTCCAGAGATCAGGAAAGCAAAACAATTTCCTCACACGTGAAAAAGGTTTCGTTCAATTAAATAGAGGTCCAGAGATCAGGAAAGCAAAACAATTTCCTCACACGTGAAAAAGGTTTCGTTCAATTAAATAGAAAGGTCCAGAGTTGACTTCAACTACTATCTTTCACGGGCTTAATACGTATCTGATTGCTTAATTGGATAGTTCAGATTGATCTGATTAATCAATTGTCCCTTAATGGTAGCAGCAGTGCAAGTTAAATCTGAACCTCGCTAACGATACAACGAGGACCTATGAGCTTAGTCACTCACGGCGGAAATTTTTCTCGCCCTTTGTTTGACTTGATTAATTTCGCTTTATGTTGATTTTTATTGTTGTTTGAATGAACTGCGTACTTGTTATAGCAGAATATATGCACTATGCATGCTAGCGCTATTTTATTGAAATTTTCTTAGCGTGCGTATGTCTTTTGATGAATTATTAATCCATATAGTTCACTATAATTATTAAAATATTGCTTTAAGGCGACGACCAAACATATATCAAAGACGATAAGTTAAACTACAGTACCTATGGTGTATATCATCAACATGGTTTGTTCGTGCTTTCCGGTGAAACAAAAATGAACGCGTGCGAATTAAAATACCATACGTCAGCACTTCCCATGTGTACATTGTGACCTTATATCATGTGCATCTATTTTTTAAGGCTGTTCGATATAATCCTTACAATCCCTCCGCGTGACCACTGGTGTTAGAAAAAGAACTTCCAATCACTGAACTCTATAACACGGAAGGCTCAAAAAGTGAAGCCGAACATGGAGAAAATTGAAGGCATTATTGTGCGTCCATTTCAGTCCCCTTACGCGCGCGCTCAACTAATATACATTCCATCTTTCACCTCATGAAAATATTCTTACCATTGCACTCATAAACATTCATTATTTGTTTTATATAATACCAAAATAGACTAATAGTTTCGTATGAGAAGCATTTTGACGGATGCGATTTATCGAAAACATGAAGAGTACAATGGAACGTATTCCATAGCACTCTTGGGGAATGGAATTTTCTATTAAATATTACGTGACAATAAACAGCCAACTAAACTATCAGAATTCAATAAGGTATTATATAAATTTATATATTTTCCTGTCAACTAAACTTATAAATTGTGTTGGAATATAATGTTTTTGACAAAACTGATTTAAAAGCAAAAACTCTTTATGGAAAAATAGTCAACAAGCACTTGTTTTGTCTAATTAAATATACTAGAAAATACATGCATGCATAGACCCTCGCTTTGCTGACAAAACCATTGTAGTTGTCTGAGGCAATCGAAGTCGTGCAAAAGAGATCACTTAAAATTATTTATCCTGAGTGTGATTCGTACACAGACGCACTAAATCTAGCCGACATTCCTACACTCAAGAGTAGAAGAGATCTATTGTGTGAGAAATATATGGACAAAATGAAATCTAAAGACCATCCCCTACATAATCTACTTCCAAAACCGGTCGTCTTTGAGAATCAGCGTAATCTGAGAAGGAAATAAGAACAATTTTACCTATTTAAAAATAATACGGTCTGTAAAACGAACAGAGCACAATCCTTTTTTACCTTTAAATTTTTCCATTAATACTGTTTAATTGAATAATTAGAAATATGCTGTAAATATTAGGAATAAATAATAACAGTCTAAATTTGAACATCTTAATATGAACATTACCTTAGAAATATTATGTAAATTTTACTAGTAAGCTCGTTAATTCAGTTGTATAACTGCAAGAGAGTTTTAATTTAATAAACATCAATAAATCAATAAACATGAAGTATTTAAAGTAGTTGTCATGGTAACACGATAATTTTTTAAGAATATTTTTACAAATGAAAATCCCCTAAAAATATCACTTTTAATTATAAAATTTTCAATTTCCAAACATATATATGTTAGGTATGTTATTATACGTAATGTAAGATTCAATCAGTTAAGGTAAAATTCAACCACAGACTCTTCGTAAAACGTTTTAATTAAAGTGTTCTTTTAATATAAAACTACTAAACGGCCTTTAATGACTTTATCGATAAAATTCTCGCATGCAAATAACTTTGCTTTCTTTTTTATTTAAACAATTTTATTTTAATATAGTAAAAAAAGGGTAATCAATAAAGATAGATTGATTATAAAGCAAACAATTATTAAATATTTAAAACGTACAAACTTACTTTCGTTAACGTCGGCGCCTTCACTCACTTCTTCAGTAGAAGTTCTTTCGCCTTTTAATCAGTTATCAAAAAGCTTTTGAAATTTTCAAAATCTTGCAAAAATGAAATATATTTGCAAGAAATCGTCAAATCAAGAAATGTTTGCTATTTCGCTGTCGCCATGCAGCCGTTATAATGCAAATTTTAAATTGGACCAATAAGTGTTCGCTATATTCATGACAGTCCGCTATATTTTGAGATCAGTGAGGATGACCATCCATCGTTGGTCACCCACGCCCGCGATCATTGATGAACTTTAGACTTCGCTAATGCTTTCGTTTCCCCTGGTGTAAATAGCCGGGGGAGATTAGTACCCTCGCACGGCGCTTGGCGCCGTTGGCTCGGAGATAAAATTTCAAATTTTAGCAATGTTCGAAGTACTGATTTAAAAAACGAGCAGCAGTGTTTTCTCAGTATAGCTGTCACGTTTTAGGAAAAGTTACTATTTTTAGACTTTGATCACTTACCGCCATGAAAATACAAAAAGTTTGGCCGCGCGTGTAACGGGAGTGGAATTGACGCACAGGAATAGCTTCGGAGTCTGCCATCTTTGGCTTGACTTTTTTATTACGTATAATTAATTAAAGTAAGCCTTCCATTTTATTATACAGTTCAATGCTTTCAATATATAACCTGACGAGGGGAGCCGATCACGCAATCTCCCGTCATTGAAAAACAAGTATAGTTTGTTTTGTCCGTTAACCATGCAATGTTATTCAAATTTTGCACGCTGTATTGCACCAGAAAACTAAAAAAATTCTAAATTGCCAAATTAAAAATTTTTATCAAAAAAACGGAAAATGAGAGTATTGATTATTTTATATTTACCTTATTGTTAGTCTATATCTGAGAGGGAAATGTCAAATTATTATAAATATACACAAGAATTTTTTTAGAACTGTATCGTTCTACCTTAAAGCTTAGTCAATCAGCAAGTCTCGGCAAGTCTATAACCGAACAGACAAGAGAAAAATGTCATCTATTTTTCACACCCAATATAAGAGATAAAATGACGTCATCTTCGAAAAAGATATTCAACGTCATTGGCTCGTGGTGCTTGTCAAAGAACTGTGATTGGCTTGAAGATATTTCGTAGTTGAAATTGCGTTATCAGTGCAGCTCTCGACCACTGAAAAAGCTGGTCCATGTTATTATAGAATAGTTAAAATATAGAGTATATGTACCTGCGATGCTGTCACGCTTTGGTCTGATGCGCTGATAGTATAGTAACCACCATCGACCTCGAACCTTAGTATGTACAGTTCCTGAAATACTGATTGTTTGTCCCATTGGATATCTGTTAAAGCTAAATTAAAAATACAAGAGTGTAGTAATTATACATTTTTATTGTACATTTCTTTAGAAACCATACCTCATGGGGTGTATAATTGAGCCCTACAGTACATGAAGTGCTAGACGTACCAGTAGGGCTGGTTTTCACGTCGTGCCCGCTAGATACGAATACGGCGTTTGTTTTACTCCGTTCTACTTGAGAGTCATTTCTCCATCTTTCTTTTCAGTGGCAAAGTTTCCAGCTCTGCTAGGCGAGATCTTGGGTGTCAATAACGAGATATCGCCTACGAGGCTTCGCCTAAGAAATATCTGCAATCTTGACCAAAAGCCGTGGAACAAAGGACTTTTTTCTCCTTATATATCACTTCTTCCCCCTGTTCAATATTGTTTCACGCTGGAAAGCTGCAGGCACAACAATACTGGGGCCAGAACAACATTGAATGTGGGGTGAAGGGGTTGGGTGGGGGGGGGGAGTTGTAATAATTATAAAATGTGACAAAAGTAAATTTAAGGTGAAAATAAGGCAAACGTTCCGTCATTCTACCAACTTTTGGCAAAGAATGTAACTGAGGACTGTGACACAATAGACATCTAGGTGGAGAGCTGAGCCCTATACTTTGGACCATATATTATGCATGCAAAAATAAGTAAATATAAAAATAACGCAGAATACCAAAATTAGAAGCTCATATCAGAAGCTCTATCTGACTTAGGACTTCTGTACTACAAATCTAGGACCTGAGTTCCAGGCTACCTCTATGCCTCCCCGAAACCATCAGCTCGTAGGTCTATCTTAGATTTGTTATCAGGTCTATAATCGTCTTACAGGTCTCATAGTGTAAGCGCGGCATAGATTAGGCGTAAGTTTGTTACATTTTTTCAGCCACTGATTTCAATCTATTCTGGCTCCGGATGGAGTCAGAATATTTATAATAAGGGGGACATTTTTCAACCTGTCACATTCATTACAATTCAATCAGATAGGTTTTAAAATAATTGTAATACCATCGTGCTCTTCTGATTAGTTTTACAAGACACTTAAAGCGGCCATATCGTGACGTGACCACGCTAATTATTCATTGGAACATTTCAGAAAAAGAGGCAATTTTAAAATCACTCTTTTTCTCTTGCAATATCGTTTTATTCGTATACCAATTACCAGAAGCTTTAAGCACTTCTTGTAACATGTCAGCAACATTACTGTAGATTTGCGGTAGTCAAACCAATATGGTCACAATTGGCTACCTTAATAATACATAGCAGTTGCTCCGGTCCTAGTTTTGAGATCAGCGTTCTTCGCACAGTTAACATGCATATGCATTTAGTCTGTATTAAATCTCAATTCATAGTATAAACACTGCGATGGTGTCTTACTTAATGTTGATCCTTCAGCTTCAGCGGTCGCCTCTACAACATTAGAACCATCTGTAGAGTGAAAATGTTTTAAGTATCAGATAAACAGTTTATCTAACAATAGGTAGACTGGGAGCGGTCCCTCCTTTCCACGGATTTAGCTTCCTGGGCGTGCGAGGAGAAAGGAGAGACTGCCGAGAACACATCAATAACCAGATGATCTTGATACGCGGAAAAGTACTGGCACTAGTTGTCAAATAGAAATCCATTTTATGATTAAAACAACTGAATATCTCCTGTAATATACTTTATTTTGATTCCATATTTTTGTCAGAGCTAGAGTTCTCATAACCAAACATAATTACAAAATTTCAACTAGTTTCATAAAGAATAACGAAAGATATAATTGACTGAATACATCAAAATGGATTTCTATTCGGACAACCCTTTCTGAGCGCTGATTGGCTAAAATACGAACACGAGATCACTGGAAACGAAATACGCCCAGAATTGTTATGTCTGTATGTTAGCACTAGTGTAGTTCAAGGGTGGGTTGACTACAAAATTTTTGTAGTTCGCTATAGCTACAGCTACTTCAAAAATATGTAGTCAGCTACAACTACTGCTGCTTTTGAAGAAAGGTACGTAGTTCGCTACTGACTACAGCTACTGCTTAAAAAATGTAGCGAACTATTTCGCTATTTCGCTACACTATATTATTTTTTTAGTTTTACTATATTTGGAGCATCTACTAAGTACTAACTCAGGCTGTAATGTAATCTATAACAAATCGACTTACGAGTAGCAACAGTAAACACAATTAAAGCAACATTTTTGTAAGCACTACAGTGTTCAGGAGTGCAAATTGACTATTGAGTATTGATTTTAAGCAAACCGTGTCTCAATATCATGCTATTCTATCAAGTTGCTAAAAATTTTAAAAAGTAGTGAATAGCGATTCGCTGTTTGAAAAGTAGTCAACTACTTAGCTACTTTTAGGCAAAATGTCGCTATAACTACAACTACTGTTTTAAAAAAGTAGTCAAAAACTATTGGCTACTTGAAAATTGTAGTTCGCTACAGTAGCGAACTACAACTACTTCGCTACGGCATATAGTAAAACGCGGACTGGACTGGTAAAACGTGGACTGGACTCAGATTAGTAAAACGCGGACTGGACTCTATTAGTAAAACGCGGACTGGACTCTATTAGTAAAACGCGGACTGGACTCTATTAGTAAAACGCGGACTGGACTCTATTAGTAAAACGCGGACTGGACTCTATTAGTAAAACGCGGACTGGACTCTATTAGTAAAACGCGGACTGGACTCTATTAGTAAAACGCGGACTGGACTCTATTAGTAAAATGCGGACTGGACTCTATTAGTAAAACGTGGACTGGACTCTATTAGTAAAACGCGGACTGGACTCAATTAGTAAAACGCGGACTGGGACCACAATTTCGCGCCAAAATTTGACCAATATGGCAACCTCGTTCCCAGGACTTTTCCCTTTTTGTCAAATGGAACATTAATGGCAGCGAGCTTTAAAATCCCAACATGTACAAGTCTGAAAAGAAAGGCAAAAAAGGAACCAGAGTTGCCAAAGTTTGAAAAAGAAAATAAGTTGGGTTGCGGTACGTTTGCCAAAAATAATAATTTCGAGTCCATTGGTCCATTCCATTTAATATAGGTTTTACCTTAAAATTTCCTAGAGGGTAGCTTAAGAAATTTTCAAAAAAATAGCAAAAATTAGGTGTTTTAGTGATATACAAGGGGTTAAAACGATATCCTAAAGGGGGTATAAAGAAATCCATGGGGTAACTTCCAAAAATCGCATCCAAGGGGATTCTAAATTTTTTATATCCTAAGGGGATTATGAAGGGACCTCTCAATAGGGGGGGGTGCCTATATTAAATGGAATGGCCCATTGACTCGAAATCTTGTTTGGAGAAAGAAGCCACACTGTTGAACAGTACAAAATGCCACAGGAATATAATTCGGTTCCTTGAATTTTCAACTGATGATGGAGTATTCTTGTTTCGATTTTCGCCCGTTTGGAGTTGCAAAAAGTCTTTGCACTCACCTAGACAATTTTGTCCATTTCGTAGACGATTTTGACTTTGCTTTGCCTCGTTCGCAGACTTGCTGCCAACATGTACCAAAGATGTTGTCGCAGATTTGAAATATTTGCACAACAAGAATATCGCTCACCGGGATCTAGTGAAACCGGCAGGAGACATATGGCTGACTTTGGCTTAAGTCAGTCTCTCGACTTACAAACCAAGTAATTTTTTATGTCAATGAAATCACCGTTTTGGCTTCCCCGAACTTTTCTCACCTTGCATTTTTTGGCTTGCATTCTTTGGCATAAAGTATGTGATACATCATATACTTGAAAAAGTATGCACTGAATGAAAATTAAGTGAGTGCAAAGTGATTATCTTAATTCATAATATTTATTGAATGATAACGATATTCTTGCTTTGAAAATATTTCAAACCTTCGACAACATCTTTGGCACATGTTGGCATGAAGTCTGCGAACGAAGCAAAGTCAAACTCATCTACGAAATCGGGACAAAATCTTTTAGAGTGCAAAGACTTTTTGCAACTCCAAATGGGCGAAAATCGAAGCAAGACTACTCCATCATTATTGAAAATTCAAGGAACTGGATTGTGTTCCTGTGGCCTTTGTACTGTTCAACAGTGAGGCTTCTTTCTCGAAACAGGATTTCGAGTCAATGGACTCGACATTATTGTTTTTGGCAACCACTTTTTCTGGTCTTTCCTTTGTATTTTGCTAGGTATGCGGACCCAAACGTACCGCAACCCAACTTATTTTCTTTTTCGAAAAGTTTCCACTCAAACTTTGGCAACTCTGGATCCTTTTTTGCCTTTCTTTTCAGACTTGTTGGGATTTTAAAGCTCGCTGCCATTTTGTTCCATTTGACAAAAAGGAAAAGCCCTGGCCCTGGAAACGAGGTTGCCATTTTGGTCAAATTTTGGCGCGAAGTTGTGGTCCTAGTCCGCGTTTTACTAATAGAGTCCAGTCCGCGTTTTACTTATAGAGTACAGTCCGCGTTTTACTAATAGAGTCCAGCCCGCGTTTTACTAATAGAGTCCAGTCCGCGTTTTACTAATAGAGTCCAATATGTATGTATGTATGTAAAACTTTATTTAAACACGCTTGCCTCGTCAACATGGTGCTGATTTCCACGAGGGGCGTCACACAAATAATACAAGGAAAATAATCAAGTTAGAAAGTTACAATTTAAAAATATTATATACAACTATTTACAAAAGTTAGATTAGCACACATATAGCACAGAATCATTCTCTAGCTTGCACCTATCTCTTTTTTGAAGCAGCCGAGAGTATCCGCCGATTTAGCTGCAGACGAAAGGTCATTCCATAACATAGCGCCACTGTACTTAAAGCTTCTTCTTAGATATTCTGTTTTAGGTTTTGGAAGAGTTAAATCATTTTCGCTATTTCTGAGATTATAGGTATTTTGTGTCACATTCCTTTTGTGAAGAGATTCTTTTAGACCCGGGGCAGCGTGGTCATTTAGCACTTTGTACATAAACACATCCTTGGACTTATTTCTTCTATTGTCAAGTGTTTCCCAAGACAGGGTATTAAGAATGTCAAGTGACCTTGTATCGTAAGTGGCACCAGTTATTACCCTTGCTGCGCGAGACTGAATTTTTTGTAGTTTGTCTTGGAGCAATTTACCACAGTTTCCCCATAGGGTGGAACAATAGCTAAAATATGGCTGCACTAGTGCTTTATATATGGTTTGTAGTGTATTAATATCAACGTACGGTTTAGTGCGTTTAATAGCCCCAATACCGGCACTTGCCTTTTTACATATTTTATCAATATGTTTTTCCCAGCTCAAATTTTCATCGATTTCTACTCCTAAGCTTTCAAAAGAATGAGTTAATGGTACTGGTTTGTCGCCAAAAAATACAGTAGCTTCACCAATCCTATTTTTAAGATTGTATGGTGATCCAATGAACATTAATTTAGTTTTAGTTGGATGGTGTTGTAACTTATTTTTGGTAAGCCAAGTGTGAATATTTTTAGATTATCATTTAGGTTTTTGATGCAAAATTTGGGCAATGTTTATATTATCATAATCAGATGATGATGCAAAAATTTCAGTATCATCAGCATAGAGGCAAGGGCTTGTAGATTTTAAACACTTTGGCATATCATTAATATACAGTAAAAATAATAGTGGGCCAAGAATTGAGCCCTGTGGAACTCCACAATGTTATTTGTCTAGGAGACGATGTATGACCATTGACAAAACACACTTGTTGTCTCTTTGTTAGATAAGATTCAAACCATTTTAGTTCAGCCCCATAAATTCCAAATTGCTCATTCATCTTTTTTAGTAGAATAGAGTGGTCGATTGAGTCAAAAGCTTTTCTATGTCAAGAAATACAATACCGTTTAACATGCCGTTGTCCATATTCTCTAACCAGTGGTCGCACATTTGGATGAGTGCTGACATGGTTGAGTGCTTTGGCCGAAATCCTGATTGATATTTGGAAAGCAATAAATTTTGAGATAAATGTTCGTATAACTGATCAAAGACTTTTTTCTCAAATATCTTACTTATTATCGGTAGGATTGAGATAGGTCGTAATTATCACATTTTTGCCTATCTTCAGATTTAAAGATTGGTGTTATCCTAGCCTTTTTCCATGCATCAATATAAGTACATGAATTAATAGATAAGTTGAAAATGGCAGTTAATGATGGTGCTATTATATCTGCTGATATTTTAAGTATTTTTGCAGGTATGTTATCCATACCCGTAGCTTTTGAGACTTTAAGTTGCCTTCAACTTGTGGCGACATTGATTTGATTAATTTGAGAAAAACAAAGCGTGGGCCAAGATAACTGTTGGAACAATCTTGGGTCTCCGAGCTGTTTGTAAATTGACTGGTTGGGTCACACACTTCAGCCGCTAGCTTAGGGCCAATTTGTACGAAATATTCATTAAAGGCATCAGCTATTTGCTTATTATCTACGATAACTGAATTATTGATATGAAGTTCATTAACATTGGATGATTTCTTATTTCTGCTTAGTAAAGTATTTATCAAATTCCAGCTCTTTTTAACATCCCTACTCTGTGAGCATTCCTTGATTTTGTCACGAAAGTATACTTTTTTGGCGCTTCTCATGGCCACATTGACCCTGTTCGTTCAATTTTATACATATCCCAATGTGCCGAAGAAGCATGTTTTATTGCTTGTTTTTTTATGAAAATCCCTATTCCTCATTAACCTTTTAACATTGGATGTTATCCAAGGCACCGAGGTTCCCCTTATTCTCTTACATCGCATAGGCGCATGCCTGTCAAGTATCTCGAGGAAAATAGATTTCCAAGCTTGCCAGCATACATTAGGGTCGTCAAATTGGCATGCAATATCCCAAGGGACTTGCAATATTTCTTCTATAAAATCACTTTCAACAAAATTTCTATAGTCACGAATTTCTCTGGTAGTATGCCTGCCTGATTTTGGTACTGTTATACTTTTAACTGCAAAAATCATACTATGATCGGATATTAATTCCAAGATGGATCACACCAGAATTTGATATATTTTCTGGTTTGTTTGTTAAGAACAGGTCGATTAAAGTTGCCGACCCCCCGGTCACCCTTGTTGGCTCAATAATTAACTGGTCTAATTGATATAGAGAGCATGACAGTTGGCCGGAGTCTCCGCGTATGGGAATCTGGCACTGCCTTAGCCAAGTCACAGTTTATATCTCCAACAATCATCAATTCTTTATTTTCAAGGTCGCACTTGCGCAGAAATAGATCAAATTCGTAAAAAATATCATTATTGGAATTAGGTGGCCTATACCAAGTACTTATTAAGAAAGCCACTTTATGTGGTCTACGTACTTCAATACATATCATTTCTAGGGGTTCTGGAACTAGATCTTCCCTTTCAGAGAAAGATATAGTATCTCTAATATATAGGACCACGCCACCCCCAGATCTATTTCGATCATTGCGCACCATAATATATCCAACTATATTAATTTCATTATCGGGAATTGAATCATCAATTTTTGATTCGTTAATTGCAAGAATATCTATGGAAGAATTGGCTAGAAGTACACGTAGCTCTTCTATGTGTTTTAGCAGACTATTTATATTCAAACTTGCCATTTTAAAACCTTTTAATTTAGTTATAGCATGCAGCGGGTGGTCATAGATACCTGATGCTGTGCCATACGTTAAGTCAGTTAATTTTTTCTTCTGTGGATGTTCTTCTGTGGTTGGACAATTATTTCCAACAGTTCTCCAAGTTTCTGAATCATTGATCTCTAAAAATCCTGATGTCTTTGTTTCCGTGGTGAGGCTGATGCACTGCCTCCCTTGAGGAAATTAATAAAGTGAACCGCTAAGATGGGCGAACCTTTCGCGTTTAGATGGAGCTTACTGCCATTTAAACATGTATCATCTATAGTTGAGTTGACAATAAATGAAATTTCCAATTTCTTACATATGTGCCCAATTTTCTTATTGACCTCTTGAATCTTTTCTAACATAGCAATATCATGACGCACCCGTTAGACCAGATAGACCAATTTTCGAGTAAGGAAATTGTGTCTTGGTTTTTTTAGCGAGCTTTTCTATCTTTTGGGCACATTCTGTGGCAGATTCCAAAGGGAGATTATTTGTCCCTACGTGTATAATTACATGGGACGGGATTGATTTTAGATTATCAAAACTAATCTCCTTCTCAATTTCATCTGCGGTTTTTCCCGGGAACGTATATTTATGCACCTTCTTTCTTGTTAGCTTTCTAGGTTGAATACTTTTAACTATGGAATCGCCTATGATAATAACGTCCGAGCTGATATCATGGCTTTCGATTTTCTCGTTTCCCTTAGGATGGTTATAAATACGGGTTTCTGTTTGTGTTTCGCCATCTAGGATATCGCTCAAACTTTGATACTGATTTTCTGTGTTTAGCACTTAGGTACTTGGTGTGTTTCCTTCATTCAGTTTTCGATTGCTACTTTTGGTTCCCTGTACCACCTGGTAATTATTGGACGTTTCAGTTGATTTATTATTTTGTCGGTTTAAATTATTAAGACAGGTTTGATAATCCTTTTGTTGTAGCGTCATAGCCGTAGCGAGGTTGTCTTTCTCTTGCTCCAAATACATGATTTTCGCTTTAAGATCTTTTATTGTGTTATTAGCTTCTTCCAGATTCGACCGTAGGAGAGCTTTTTCACTTTGGCATGTGTTCGTGTTGCATAACCGAGTATTTTCATTTCCATCGCGAGTTTCTGCTCGATTTTTGAGCTGCTGTATGTCGCGTTCGACACGCTTGAGTTGAAACGCGAGATCACGGCAATAACATTGACAACTTGTGAATTTATGTCCACCCTCAACAACCGTCTCAATTTTAGAGCTACTTGGATCATCTTGATTTGCTGTAATGTGATCAGAATCGTACTTGCCGTCGTCCGACCATGAATTCTCAATTACTTCGACGTCCATGTTAGAATTCCCTTCGCTTCGCTTCCCTTCTGCTTCGCCGTATTGTTTGCCGTCATGAATAATGACTTTATTCAACGTGGCAAATTTAGCAAGATTTTCTCGAAGGCTTTCATTCTTATCGTCTCGAGTTATCACGAGCTTTTGCTTCTTTCTACCGTACCATTTCATAGTGTAGTTTTCACTTGTGAATTGCTTTACCTCTCCACCAGGAGACGACCATTGTCCCTCGATATTCAAGTCAGATTGCACAAACAATTTCAGACTCTCTAGCGAGCCAATCCAGGCTAATTCCTTGTCAAGTTTGATAAGATTTGATAGTTTAGAAGGTGTCGAAGTTGTTGGCATATTATATTTTGTTCTAGTATACTTTGAGGAAAACTAAAATGATCTTCAATAATAACGGAGCCCTCGAATGGACGTCTACACGCCATGTTCGTATATAAATGATTTCGTGTGCGCCGTGAAGTAGCAAATTAGCAAATACGGCTTAATAGACAAAATAGTCTGTAATTTAATATATCACTTTGTCGTTTTCTTGGCGGAAGTAACTATATTTTTTCGAATGCGTTTTTTCCCACCCACTTTCAAAATTCGGCGCGGGATCGGCGCCCCCTTTTCATTTCTGCGCTCCCCAAGAATTGCCAGCTGGGGGGACCGTGGCCCCCCGGCACCCTTCCAGCACGCCACTGATAGAAGGAACTAGAACCTGTTCCGAAATATCACTTACTAGAACCGTCCTGACCGCGTAGCTCAGTTGGCAGAGCATTGGGCTAGTTTACCAAAGGTCGTAGGTTGGATTCCCAACGTGGTCGGGCATATTTTTCAAGGTCGTCCGGTGTGGATATACACTCAGAGTAACATCAAAAACATCATATTCACCTGATCATGAGTACACAACACCAGCACAGAAAAAATCATATTACTAGATTACATTGGTATAGAAGGAACTAGAACCTGTTCCGAAATATCACTTACTCTAACCGTCCTGACCGCGTAGCTCAGTTGGCAGAGCATTGGGCTAGTTTACCAAATAGTAAGATTTACTGTGTATTCCAGCTGGATTTTCGTGCCAAAATAGATTTTATCAGCCAGCTTTGTCAATTTTGGGGTGCTGATTTCAAAAAAGTTAGGTACCATTTTTTTTCTTCCACGTCATCAGTAAAAAAATTGAGATTCAAAATGGCGGCCATTTTTTTCAAGATGGCGTCCATTTTTTATTGTGTTTTGTTCTATAATTTAGCTCGTCGGCACCGTAGAACAACTATATTGTCCATACTTGTTAATTTTGAGTATAAAAAAGTTGATTACAGTTCTATTTCCGATTGCTTCTTCAATTAAGTTAATAATTCGTTTGGTTTTAGGATGGCGGCCATGTATTTTTTCAAAGTGGCCACCCTGTTTCATTCACTCTGTGTTTATCTCAGTTTGTAGGTACATTGGAAAGCAAATATGCTGGGAATAGGCGTAGAGATTCTTAACACAACTTCTTTAATAAAGCTTACAACATATACAAAATAGTTTAGTCTTAATTTAATATGTCCATCTATCCTGTTTATTCATCAATGTCTTCATCCTGATCTGGTACGTCAATGTCACTAGCGTTGTTGCAGTCACCACATTTGCAAAGTGGTGTGCAGGGTAAGTTATTCTTGTGGCAGGAGCAACGAGCTGTACTGCGCTCACTACGACATCCGCACTTGACAAGCTCTACAACTGACTCAGGTGCTGGTGGTTCAAGACATTTCTTTGGAGAAATTGTGCCATCGGATATAGTCTCCCATCCATTATCAGTCAGTAGTGGTGTTTGCGGGCGTGGCTTTCTGTAGCCTTTGTTGATTGTCGATATAGCATTGGCTCTCTGAATGTGCGGTTTCAGTGCTCCAAGAGTGGGTGGCAACTTTTCCGACTCAAGATTCTTTGTTCTGAATAGTTCCCATCTCAGTTCCCCAAGTGTTCGGCATTTGCTATTCTTGGCATACACCTCGCACACAAATGATTCTAGAACATTTGACACGCTTTCCTGGTCAAAATCATCCTCACCAAATTTCTGAAAATATCAACTGCATCGGAATCTGATTCCAAAGTTAGATAGCGATTTATCCACCTGTCCTTTGATATACCTGCAAATTTCCCTCCCCAGTCAGCACCGCTAAAGGCGTGGAGCCCTAGTAGACCTTTACTTTTCTCGGTTCCAACTGCTTCACATCTTGTCCGTATGTCAATCGTTATCTTCGCTTTTCCTTTCCCAGTAATGAACCGAACCTGACCTGCAATATTGTTGGATGAGAACAAGTCCATCAAGTATACGAAGACATCTGTATCCGGTGAATACACATCTATATCTCGGGTGTCTCCATCAGTTTTCGATGCATCAAATACATGCATTGGGATCAATGTGTCTGCCTCTTCGTGTGAGTGTTCAATGATATTAGGATCAACGACATTCGGTTTGTTGCAATATGTCCAGGTTCCATAGACAACCACCAAACTTTTATTGCTGTCTGCATATTCACGAAGTACCGCTTTCCCCAAGTATTCTGTCAGTTTAGATTTTGTTTCAATGTGAGAAAGCAAGGTTTTCAGAGGTACAAGTTTGATATTTATTGCATCGTTAATATCGCACTTCACGGGGTCAATACCAGTAGATCTTTTGCTACGCGTGTGAGCTTTCAGAGAGTTGTCCAAGTATCTGTCAAAGATCACGCGTCCTTCGTCATACCCAGATATTATCTTTTTGGGGAATCTATCGGACCTTTCTATCGGACCTTTCTTGATAGCTTGGACGATGGTCATGGCATCAATAATGCACAGCTTGTTTCGGCTCTCAACAGTACTGGGTACATCGAATGTTGAATTTTGTTCACTTGATAGCTCTATGCTGCACTCTTCAATGGCATGCACAAAAGAACTCTTGTCAGCTGGTATAAGAAGAAGACCATCCGAGGAGAAAAGTGACCTGGGAATGACAGAAAACTCATATCTACCAATAGTGTCGTTCAGAGATTGGATCATACTTGGCCGTGACTGTTGAACTAAGAGAAATCTTGCCAATAGCTGTCCATCTTCCCTTAACTTTACCAGCTTGTTTCCGACTTTGCATTGTGTCTTCTTCCTGCATGTAGTAAAGGTCTTCATCTTGATTTTCTTCATTGGATCCCAAATCGACATCTTTGCTGTGGTTGCACAACCCGCTCAGACACAAATTCTTCAAATTTCTCTGTCCCCTTTTCATCATCTCTGAGAAGGATGTCGTCCTTTGCATTTTCTGGTACCTCCATATTAGATATCAGGTTCATTAGATTAATGTTCTTACGTGAAAATGGATTCCCGTCACAATGTTTGACTATTCCTTTCTTGATCAAGCCTGAGTTATTGAACATACGAACTGCCATTCAGCCACTCAGCTGATAATGTTCCTTAGTTGCTGGTTGGTCGCTGTCTGTGCAGTAAGAATCGCGGAAATATTTGATTAGCTTGATTAACTCACTCAAGAAAAAATCTATTAAGTGCACCTGCATTCTGTGTGATGCCAGTTATCTCTCACGCTACCTTGAGTTCTCTGATTAGCTGTTCCAATGTTTGATCCACGAACAGATTTGTGAATGGGATCCCCGATTTCGCTACCATGAAGTCGCGACATTCCAGTGCCTTCCAGGTTTCCTGGTCAGAGTCCTTAAGCCGCTGCATTTGGGCAAGATAAACTGGTACGAGACGAGCATATTTGTAAAGATGATGCGTAAAATAGTATTTGACATTCTCTTCAAGAGCACCAAGGTGAAGTTCCCACTCTCCCTGTCTGCTCGCCCGAATTAAGTGAAGCAAACTCTCTACCTGCTTCATATAGCTCCGCAGAAATTGTGCCATTTCTCCAAGGTCTTGTTCAAGTGATGATTGGAACAGTTTTAAGAAGATTGCACTTACTTCTTCAAAGACCTCTTTCACGTCTTCTTGCCTTGTATGGAGTTGATTGCGAAGTTCATAACATTTCAGTATCACAGATCCCGCGTCTTGTTGCTGAAAAGAGGCGTCGAAAAGAAGGTCATAGCAGGCCATTATATTGGTCAAATGGTACTCTACACCACGCTTAAACCACTTTCCAGCGAAGATTTGGCGAATGGTAGATGGCGAATAAAGACCAGCTTCAATGCCGATAGACTTAAGACCGCTGCCTTCTACATACTTTGCGATGGCATGAAGAGAAGCAAAACAAGCATGAAGTTCACCAACTCTCAAAACCCAGTTAGTGTTCTCTGTCGAAGATTGCAGTTTCAATGCTCTCTCGTACAGATCAAAATCAAGAGCAATTATAGTTTTGTGATCAAGACCTACCACAAAAGCTGATATACCCTGAGCCTGACACAACACCGTGTAGAGAGCTGTAAAATCTGTTGGAGGTCTCCTTAACAAAGGGGCAACAATTGAACTCTGTGTTTTCTGCCGATTCTCTAAGTGAACTTGTGGTGCCGACGTTAATAAAGAGTTAGCAGCCGCCCAAGTCGGCATAATGTCTGTTCTCTCCAGTTTTGTGGATGATTGAGATGTACGCTGTTCGGGATGATCTGCAGCTTCAAATTCTTCACATGTACTTGCTGACAGTTCTTCAGGGGTAGCATTTCCTACGATCGCACTTCTCTCTCTGTGGGAAAACGATGCCATCAGCCACGCTCAGTCGTCCACCTCGTATTGTCTCACAAGATGATCAGTGGAGTGAAAGTCGAACTTGTCAACTGTGATAGGCTTGGCTTCAACGGATGTCGGGCAACTGTAGACTGTGGTAACATCCACAGAGACAATTTCATCGGGGATACGAAGAGATTCATCCACTACGACTCTAGCAGTTTCATTATGGTTGCTGTCCTTATTTTGATTGATTACTAGCATCGTACCATGAAGAGCGTTCTGACCATTCTGACCATCAGCTGTTTTCTAAGAAGTCGATATTATCTGCAGCAAAGTAAATAGGCTTTCCTTTCACAAGAAAGGACGTCAAACAAAATCCACCTGTTGTCTTCATCCGCTCAGCCACTCTGCAGGCAATTCGCTTCTCTATGTTGACGACGTTCTTGTAGCCAGATCCGATTTGCAGCTGTGAAAGAACATTTACAAGATCCTTACTTCTTGTTTTCTTGTGAAAAGTTAATGCCAATCCAACAGAGAGAGGAGTTTCAATGTGACTTCGGAATCCGGTATCCGACTGGGGTTGGTAAGTTGTCTGACGGTCCGTTTTAAAGTTCTGCAGTATCTGTTGTGACACAAGAGCAACTGACTTCGTTGATGCCTCATAGCGCTTTCCTTTCACATTTCTAAGTTTTGTGCCAAGCTAAGAAGAAGCCATTGTAGAAAGGAGGTCAACATTGGTGGAGACTGAAATTCCTTCATGGACTGGGATCCTGTAAATTTCCAGTGAGTATGTCTTTTTAGCTCATTTCTCAATATAGCAGCTGTCTTTGCGACGCATTTGATGTCATCTTCTTCATTTTGTTGCTCTCGGAGGTTGTTAACCGCCACTCCAAGTAGCTTTTCGCTGACTACATTATCGCTTTCATTGGATCTATTTGACTTCACAAATTTAACATCTTCAATTTTTTCATGGATAGTACTTTTCAGATTCTTTTTATGATGGCTGGAACCTGGATCTACCTCATTTTCAGTAAGTATGGAAACATATTCTTCATCAGTTTCATTCATTGTTAGAGTAGAACCTGAAGCAAGGGAACATTTGACAGCATTCAGGATGTCAACGTCAGCGATATATTTGCCAATGTTGGACTTGGACTGTATATCCCAGTTTGAAATGGATTGTTGCAACTTTCGTTCGTGTTCTCTAAGACAATTCCTGTGATACACTAAATCAAATGCAGCGCAGTCAGAAGGTTCATTAACATTGGCTAAAGCTACCGTATCTAACATTCTCATCTTGTGTTCTTGATTTAATCAAGAAAAACCTGATGCCCATAGACTCACATTCGACTCGATGTAGTTCGCTTGTGCTAGGATGGGAACACTGGAACACACAAGTCTTGATGTGCTGTAATGCGCCAACAGATCGTCGTAGCCGTTCGCCTGTTACCTCTCTACTGCATGATGGAGAATCTGACCTTGAAGGGCGACCTTTCTTTGGAGGCACTACTGACTTTAATCATGATGAAGATTCTCTAAATCTTTTTTCTGCCTTTTCAATTTCTCATTGTTGACGATATTTTTATAGCATCCAGAATGATATACAGACTGAATGTATTGCTCATCTGTAAGACTTGCAATCCTATCACAGAGAGGGGATAAGTTTGTTTCCCCCATACGATGCACGTTGGCTTGCATATTTCTTGACTTTTTCCAGACTTTTTCCATGTGCATGTCTGACATTTCTAGGACAGCGCATTAACCATATCATATTACAACTAAAATCACGTTACGATGCTTTTGCACACACTTTTTCGATCAATTTAAAATTAGTAATTACCTAATTTAATGTTTTTCGCCTCCAATCCCAAAATCAAGTTCGGCTGCTTAGACAATGAATAATATGGAAAGATACATACAGCTCATGCAGTGACAGCTGTGTCCACCATCTTGGATGCCCGTGTCAAAAAGCTAGGTACTAGTCTTGCAAACTATTCTTGCAAATTCTTTACTTTATTATACCTTGTATCTTTATTCACATTACCGATCACAGCCGGTATAGCTTAATTCTATTTATATGTCTTGGACATAATTTCTAGTGAAATTGTAGGCAAAAATTAAAGAGTTTTAATGACTCACCACCACAGCCTTAAATGACTAAATAGTGACTGTAGTGATACAGTTAAAAAAATCAAAGCTAAGTTTTTAATAAAATGGTCATGGCATGAAATAGAACAGAATTTGCACAGAATACAATGAAAGATGGCGGCCATTTTGAAACCCCAAGTTTTGAAGGATGATGGCATGGAAAATAAAAGTAGCCAACTTTTTTAAACTCAGCAACTCAAGATTTAACAATCTTTTTTTTACTGATGACGTAGAAGAAAAAAATGGTACCTAACTTTTTTGAAATCAGCACCCCAAAATTGACAAAGTTGACCAAAAAAATCTATTTTGGCACGAAAATCCAGCCGGATCCAATTATCTGACATACCAACCTATATTAAAAGGTCGTAGGTTCGATTCCCAACGTGGTTTAGCATATTTTTCAAGCTCGCCCGGTGTGGATATACACTCAGAGTAACATCAAAAATATCATATTCACCTGAGTACACAACACCAGCACAGAAAAAAAAAGTCGAAAATGTTCACATACTGGAAAGATAACAAAATTTTAAAAAACAAGTTAAATTATGATTTTAAATTAGGCATAGTCACTTTAAGGGCATAAGAGTGAAGAAGTATTCTGAAACGGCTTTCTTTTTCAATGCAATTCTCCACTGTTCTTCACTTCTATTTCCTCCAAATCGATGTCCTTAACATCCGTTGAGCACCATTTAAGGGGAGCTTCATCTCCAGATTTGGTGGAATGGAGAGCATGCAAACCTCAGAAGCTAGAAATACCTCTTGCCCAAAAACTACAAATTTTGAGTTCCGCCTACCGAACGCATGGTTCCGCCCATCTTAATGTATTTATTTGTCAAACTCACGTATTGCATTTGCCCCATGGCCAGTGCAAAGTATACGGCCTTGACGTTTCATACCTTCGGTTCATTCAATGCTGTGAAGACAAAAATACCACGTTCGATTCAGTGTAACAATATGTCCTCATTCATAGCGATAGTTTTAGTCGATGTCAACATCATAGCGATTTATGAGCTTTGAAAATCAAGCGAGTTCGTATATTATCAAATTACGCAATTGTCTTGAACAAAATTATATACTAGCCATACCTTTCGCCGAACATAACATCGGCCCCTTCGGACGTAACTTCTTTGTAATAGTCTTGTTCCAATCGCTATCAAAAACACTACTTAGAATGTCATTTACGCGCCTGTATCTTCAAATATGCATCTTTTATCGCGGTATCACATCTCAAATGTTGGATTGATATTCGTTGTTCATTCTTCAAGACGATGGGATTACCGTAACGTTTCCAGATAAAGATTAAAGAATTCAACGCTTAATTCTCAATTAATACATTCGTTTATATAACAATAGTTTATAATACGGCAACAGTAACTGCAAAAATTAGCACTAATTATTCTAATTCATTACTCCTGTCAATCAAAAATTCAAAATGAACATTCTGACCAATCAGAATTCTCCGTCACCCAACTGCCGGAGAACTCAGAATGTGTAGTTTTTGGGCAGGCGGTATTTCTAGCTTCCCGTTCTCTCGTCCCCGCGAATACCGCGTGCGACGAGGCTAATCTCAAACAAAAAAACTTGGACGCTAATCACAGGCGGCCCAATCTCGCAAGGGTCAATATAGACTTATAGTATAAATGTATATTATATTAATGTATATTATAGTAAAAATATGTCGTAAAGTATAAATTTTAAAATGAAATTGACTTGCGTATTTGATAGTGTGTGTTCTCCTTTTATTCCTCCTTTGTTGGACTAAAATTTTCCGAGACTTTGTACTCGATGTTACTGGTATACATGAAACATGATAAAGGCTAACTATTCCCGATCGTCGATACGACGGCATGGCACTTCGAATCGAAAATTTTCACACTCAAATCGCTTTATTCTCCAAAAAAATTCGCCAGCATATACAACAAATGTCGTCTTCGAAAATACGGAGGTACTTCGGCGAGATGTACAGGTTTTGGACCATATTTTAACAATGGAAATCAAAACCCATTTTATATTGAACTTGCCCAGACCGAAAATTACTACGGCGAACGTCTGCGCAACCAGGCCTCCTTTACCGTTGGATTTACAGGGGGGAGGATGCCACTAATATATTCACGATAATATTTCGAATTAAAGTATCATATTCTACCATGCTTTCCAACAAAGAGCCGCTGTATATTACTTCTTCCTTAAATTTCTTCAATCTCCATCGTTTAGTTTTCTTTTCTTCGACAACATCTCGAGTTTTATACAGTATCCGATCGAAGGAGTTTTTATTTTGAATATCAAATTTCAAATCTCCCCCCCCCCTGTAAATCCAACAGTAAAGGAGGCCTGGTTGCGCAGACGTTCGCCGTAGTAATTTTCGGTCTTGGCAAGTTCAATATAAAATGGGTTTTGATTTCCATTGTTAAAATATGGTCCAAAACTTGTACATCTTGCCGAAGTACCTCCGTATTTTCGAAGAACGGCATTTGTTGTACATGCTGGCGAATTTTTTTGGAGAATAAAGCGATTTGAGTGTGAAAATTTTCGATTCGAAGTGCCGTGCCGTCGTATCGACGATCGGGAATAGTTAGCCTTTATCATGTTTCATGTATACTAGTAACATCGAGTACAAAGTCTCGGAAAATATTAGTCCAACAAAGGAGGAATAAAAGGAAAACACACACTATCAAATACGCAAGTCAATTTCATTTTAAAATTTATATTTTACGAAATATTTTTACTATAATAATAATTAATAGAATATACATTTATACTATAAGTCTACACTGACCCTTACGAGATTGGGCCGCCTGTGCGCTAATCTTAAATTTTAACTGTAGATTTCTCAAAACCTGGTTTTCGAACCTTTATAAACTGCTCCTCTTACATTCCTCATTACTGTTGTCGTGAATACTAACCATTTATGGCACAGGTCTCGTTTTCGGTACGTTGCATGCTTCTTTTGCCACATGTTAGAGTAAATCTATTTTCAAACAGAAGTTATATTAACAATCTTAATAGCAATATGTTTTCCCGTTGCCATAGAAACAAAGTGAACAACAAAAATTGCTCTAAGGGACACAGTTCATCATCGTAGCTATTATATGGGACATGCACTTTCACCAAAATGGATTACACAGTTTTTGGTGCTCTTTGGGGGGGGAGGGGGGAGCAGGCTCAATTTGAAAACAGTTTACCGTAGTTTTTGACCAAGTGGAAACACAAACCGCAAACGGCATAGCGTGTAGTGATTTCTCCAACCGTTGAAAATTTGTTCAAAATCTACAAAGATACGGGTATGCAATTATGCATAGATCATTTGATCTCATGACTCAATGACATATGATGAATTAATGAGCAATCCAAGCAAATTAACGACCAATTATAAGCCGTAAAAATCTTGAAAAGATCACAATGCCATCTGCGCAATCAGCACTTAAGCAGTGTTAAATTTTGTCTGGCTGGACATAAAACATAATATTAAGCATTTAAAAGATTTAAAAATGTTAACCAAATTAAAAATACAATTGTATTCCATATAGCCCATACTCTCGCTTTGACACAAAGAGCACAATTCAAACACAAGAAAAATGCATTGCTTGCTTCAGAAGTTCTTATTCTATGTTCTATTCGAAATCGTGGGTTAGAATCGATAGGGGCCATTCCATTTAATATACACACCCCCCTATGGACGAGAATTTCTGAGGGGGGTTGAAAAAGCCGTTTCTGAGGGGTTGTGTGCACCGGCATCCTTTGATCTTTGCGTTTTTTCTGAGGGGTAAGGCAAAAATTTCTTAATTTCTGGGGGGTGTTTGTGTCGGCACTTTGATCTTTTTTTCTTAGGGGTTCAAATTTTATTGACCTCGTACATAGGGTGGTGTGTATATTAAATGGATAGACGAAATTTTGATCAAGACAAGAAGAACGGAATTAAAGGGAAATGGCAATATATATATTTTTACTTTACTTTAAACTTTACCTTACAATGTATTAGAATCCAGTTTAACTCCACTCCTCCGCGTTTATGTCCAAAGAAAATAGCAAATGTTCATTCCCAAATATTTTGTTTTGTCCGCCATCTTGAAAAATCATGCATAAAGATGCTAATTTATGCCATTTTATTTTGCGTGACGTCAAAACCAAAGCAAAATTCCCTAATTCAAAAGTTGGTTTATCTGGAATCACGTTTAGACAGGATATAGAACAAGCAACTAAAATACAGGAAGTCAACAAGAAACTCGAAGAAATGGCTGCAAAGCACGATGTTATGTTCATTGATAACTCTTCTATTGATCACACATGTTTAAATGGGCGCAATCTACATCTTAACGGCAAAGGTTCAGCAGTCCTGGCCTCACATTTTATTACCTTTCTGAGAGGAAATCAACCCCGTGTTGTTCAAGACACGACTCGTTCTGAGAAGGATTTTCGTATGGCAACAATCAATCAAATAGGGGACATGCTGAAAGCGATACTCGTGGGGAACTCTCGCAAAATTCAACGATAAATTCACGGTGTGATTCGGACCCAGTTTCTACTTCTCATGGCCATAAGATAAGTAAAAAATCAGATAGCTCATTATTAAATTATTTAAAAAATTCTAAAGGTATTAGGATTGCATGCTTAAATGTTAATAGTCTTACAAAGCATATTGATGAGCTTCGAATTATGATGCAGAATAGCCCTATAGATATTTTAGCAGTTAATGAAACCAAAATTGATGGCTCAGTTTCTGAAAATGAAATTAATGTTTTAGGATACCATGTTATTCGCAAAGATCGTAATAGACATGGAGGCGGTGTACTTTTGTATGTTCGTGACTCTATACCATTTACGGAACGGAATGACTTACTAGCAGACACTTTAGAAATGGTTTGTGTGGAAATTAGCAGACCATGTAGTAAATCTTTCCTAGTAAGTACATGGTATAGACCTCCTAATACAAATCTTCAGGTGTTTGATGACTTTTAAGCTTTCCTCAGAAACTGTGATTTTGAGAATAAAGAATTAATACTTGTTGGAGATTTAAA